TATAAAAACATAAATATATGATCTATTTATTTTAGTCTGTGTTGCAATATATATGAAATATATGTAACCAGGATATTGGCAATATCATCACGATCACAGTTAACTATCAGGAAGAGCTAAATTACAGTAATGTGAAATGTAATTATTATTATGTCGACAGATTGTGTGAAAACAACTGAGCCCTAAAAAAGCCAGAAACATTTGTATGTTCAGGCATTTTACATTTTGTGGAAACTGAGTTGGAAATAATGCGCTAGCATTTATACTCTAAGTTGGGTTGCAAATGTGAATAGTATAGTATCTTCACGTGCAATATTTGCTAATCAAGTAAGAGCAAATGTAACATCATTTTAAATTTAATCTCTAATATATCATCTTCGGTATTTATCAAAATTCTTTATTATCTAAGCGTGCAGAGGAAACCAATCATGTGCTAAACCGACATTAGTGATAAGTAAGTCTGCTAGGTTTTTCTATATTTTATAACAATTTACAGGATAGGTTTTGAAAAACGTTTAGCTATTAAAAACTGCGATAAAATTTTTTTAGAAACATTATAAAAAATAAGGCTAAGAAAGCTTAAAAGTTAGACGACGTTTCGAAGTTTTCCTAACATCATTATCAAGGCAAAAAGTTTAGAAATAACAAATCTTAAAACACCCCTAAGGACATAGGTTGCTAATTAAGAAATAATAACAAACAAAATGCTACTAGTTAAACAAAAAGTTCCACACGTATTGAGACCGTCTGGGTATTCAAAGTAGACTGACTTTCTTGATGTAAAGCATTTCGAATAATAAGCAATCGAATTTGCTCTGACATTTTCTCAAAATATTAAAATGGCTCTTTCTCCAGTAGGTGATTACTGCCGCGAGCTGCAAGAAAATGTTTCCCAATAGCCGAGTTTTTGTATTCAGCAACGCGTTGAAATAGGTGTCGGGCTGTATAGCCCACATAATCTGCATCACACAGATCATATGAAAAATGGTACACAACCCATTGCTGATTAACTTTTCCAGGCTGTTTTTAGATTTTAAGGGAAGAAGGGAAGACTTCTTAGTTTGGACAAGCCTGTGTGTTGCCTTAGGATATTAATGATACACAGTTTGTTACCAACAGTTAGTTCGGATACGTTTACTTTTTATTTGAATATTTGCCTCTTGAAGAGAGCAGCTAAATGCAAGGTAATCCTGACTTAATGAACTTTGCTGTGCACCAAAAATCTTGCACGTGATATCCGATATTCTTTGTGAGTTGTCAAGCTTCTGCCAACTGATGTGTTTTCCTTCAAAAACGTTTACTAATGTAGATTAATAGTCACTTGCTGTTTCCCAAAGCGTACCATGTACTAAAAAACACCGTAGCTGAGAATTGCATAAATACTGTTGGTCGGATTGAGCAGTGACTGAAGAGCCAAATAAAACAGATGGTCAACGAGTATAGAAGTGTGTTGTATTGATAAAAAAAATCTGAGACATTTTTACAGTGGAAACATAAATAAGAAACTAACTTTTGTTTACGAGGAACACAAAACGCATTCCAACAGAGGTGACACAAAATACTCCTGTCAGTATAATTCCCTGTTCTCTCCATTGAACGTTTGTTTAAACAGACAATTTAATTGGATGATATTTAGTTTCTCTTTTTCATTTGAACAGCTTTAACTTAGTATTTCATGGCCCTATATATTTTTTCGCTCATATTTACTTTCGTCACTTGTTAGAATAGTGTATTAGTAGCAGTAGTAGTATTGTATGTGTTAGTTGCAGTACAGTATTATTATTATTTTTTGTCC